AGAGAGAGAGAGAGAGAGAGAGAGAGAGAGAGAGAGGAGAGAGAGAGAGAGAGAGAGAGAGAGAGAGAGAGAGGAGAGACAACAGCATCCTAAAGGCCTTAAGCTGTTGAAGGCCGTAAAGCATATAAACAACAATCTTAACAGAGACACACAGCTTTACAAACATCCAGAGACAGAAAGAGAGAGAGAGAAAAAAAAAATACTTGTGGTACTCTGCAGTAAATGGGAATGCGAGTTCTAGGCTGAATACGTGAGCACAGGCTGTCGAGTACACTATACACTGACTTGTTTTCTCTGTCCCTGACACGAGAACTCCCTGGGGCCTGCTTTTGCATGTTCTATTCAATTGACCTTAAACAGATGACTCAACTATTTCCATGTGACGTAGACAACGTAACTGTGTGTGTGTGTGTGTGTGTGTGTGTGTGTGTGTGTGTGTGTGTGTGTGTGTGTGTGTGTGTGTGTGTGTGTGGTGGTGATAGTAGTAGCAGTAGTAGTAGTAGTAGTAGTAGTATGCTTAATACACTAACCTATCTTATGCTCATTACACAGACCTTTTATCTTATGCTCAATACACAACCCTTCTACCACATGCTCAATACACAGATATTTATCTTATGCTCAATATACAAACCTTCTACCTTATGCTCAATACACAGACCTTTATCTTTTGCTCAATACACAAACCTTCTACCTCATGCTCAATACACAGACCTTTATCTTATGCTCAATACACAAACCTTCTATCTTATGCTCATCACAAACCTTCTATCTTATGCTCAATGCACAAACCTTCTATCTTATGTCCAATACACAAACCTTCTATCTTATGCTCAATACACAAACCTTCTGCCTTATGCTCAATACACAAACCTTCTATCTTATGCTCAATACACAAACCTTCTATATTATGCTCAATACAAACCTTCTGCCTATGCTCAATACACAAACCTTCTATATTATGCTCAATACACAAACCTTCTATATTATGCTCAATACACAAACCTTCTATCTTATGCTCAATACACAAACCTTTCTATATTATGCTCAATACAAACCTTCTATCTTATGCTTAATAATAAACCTTCTATCTTATTCACCACACAAACCTTCTATATTATGCTCAATACACAAACCTTCTATATTATGCTCAATACACAACCTTCTAATCTTTATGCTTACTACACACAAACTCTATCTTATGTTCAATACACAAACCTCTGATCTTATGCTCAATACACAAACCTTCTATCTTATGCTCAATACACAAACCTTCTATATAAGCTCAATACACAAACCTTCTACCTTATGCTTAATACACAACCTCTTTATCTTATGCTCAATAATACACAAACCTTTCATATTATGCTCAATACACAAACTCTTCTACCTTATGCGCGCTCAATACACAAGCAAGTGATGGTTGAGGTGGTAAGTCGGTTCTCTCGTAACGTCGTCAAAAGTTGTTGTTTACCGTTTCCCATGGAAAAAAAAATGAGTTGAAATACTAATACACATATGTACAGGGGGGTATACCTGTTCATATGTACATTGATTTATATTCTTCGCGCCACACACACACACACACACACACACACACACACACACACACACATATATATATATATACACACACACACACATATATATATATACACACACACACACACACACATATTCTCACTAGTCTCCCGCAGGTAAAAATTAATTGTGACCAAAATATTGTTCCTGGACTTGAAAGTAGAAATATTTCTAATTTTTGCATCACTATTTTTCCTTTTAGCACTTCCGTCTGTTTTAATAATTGAAATTTATCTCACTTCTTGTGTTACTACCGAGTCCCTTTTATTATATTCGTATACGTCTTGTCCTCTAATCAAAAGCAAGATTTACACCAGAGATTCGGTCATGGTTTATGTATATTCCGCAGCAGCAGACCTTAGTGAGCAATATTTTATTCCAGACGGACATATGATTACCTAGCATTATGAGTAGTGGCTCTTCTCCCCGGTGATTGGTCATATAGAGCCGTCCCTTATAACATATCTTGGGTTAGGTTAGGTTAGGTTAAGTCTCAATAGGACTGCCAAACCCATTAAAAGTACGACACACTTAACCTACATCCTTAATCCTACTGTGTCCTCTCCTCCAACATTACTTCCCGGGCAACTAAGTGTGTGTGTGTGTGTGTATGTGTGTGTATGTGTGTGTATTGACCAATGTCAATGTGTGTGTTGTGTGTGTGTGTGTGTGTGTGTGTGTGTAATAATAACAATAATAATGATAAACGGTTTATTAATAGAGTTGCAGCCGGTGGCTGAAAATATACAGACTTACATTAGATTTAGACATAATGATATAATATGCATTGAATACATTTGTGTGTGTGTTTGAATGTTATAGCTAAAATTGCCCGTTCGATACAAATTATCCTTCAATAACGTTACACAATTTAAAAGTTCCATTCCCGGTGAGGTAATTTTGTCTTCTCTCTCTCTCCTTCTACATTACTCTAGATATATTCCTTCCTCTTTTCTCTCTCTACTTTCCTTCTCACTTCCTGTTCTCAACTCTTTTTCTTCCCATCACATTTCCTCCCTCTCCTACTCTCTTTCCTTCTCCCCTTTTCCTCTCTATCTCTTCTCTTCCTTCTTCCCCATATTCCCTGCTATCATCTCTCCTATTCCTCTCGACTCTCCTCCTTTATTCTCTTCATTATCTTTCTTGCCATCTCCTCCTCCTCCTCCTCCTCCCTCTTCTCCTCCTCCTCTTTGGTGGTTTTAGTATAATACCAAAGACTGTCTCCAAACTTCCACCCTCTCCCGTGATACTAGTCCTGGTACCCCCGTCATTAACCCCCTGGTACCCCCTGATTAACCTCCTGGTAACCCCTGATTCACCCCCACCCTCTACCCCTCCCCAACCCTCCACCTTCCTACCCCCCACCTCCTTCTCGCAGGCTGGCTGAAGCACGCAGAAAATTTGCCCAGAAAAATGTACAATTTTCTCTTGAGTTTAAGATAATTTTGGTAAGAATCTCCGCTATCTGAGTCCAAGTATTGTATTCTGGTATTTCACTGTTGGTTACGTCAGACTCAAGTATTTTAGAATTCAATGTTTATGATTTGGAAAAACTTTTGGTGCATCTTTTAAAGTTTTTGGCGACTGTTTTTTTTTTTTTAAGTTATTGTCGGTCTGTTTAAAATATTGGCGGGCAGTTCATGATATTGGCGATTTTAAAATTTTGTCGGGTTTTATTATATATTGGCGACCCTTGCGAAATATTGGCAGTTCGTTTAATTTATAAGTTGACTGTTTGTTTAAAATGTTGGCGTCTAATTTTTAATCTTGATCTGCTAATTGAAGTTATTGGCGGCTGGTTTGAAAATTTGACGATTGATTTGATAAATTACACTAGTTTAAAATATTGGCAGCTAGATTAATAACTTGGCAGTTTCTTTAATACATTGGCAGGTAGTTACTAAATTGACCTCGTTTAATAAATTGGCGGTTTGTTTAATAAATTGGAGGCTTCTTTAATAAATTGGAGGCTTGTTTAATAAATTAGAGGCTTGTTTAATAAATTGGCGGCTTGTTTAATCAATTGACGACTACTTTAATTTATTGGCTGTTAGATTAATACTATGGCGGTGGCTTTATAATATTGGCAATATGTTCCAAATATTGCGGATTCATTCAAAATATTGGCGAATTCTTATAATATATTCGCGGTTATCTTAAGCTATTGGCCGCTACGGTAGAATAGTCGCAACTCCTGTGAAATATTGGCGGGGCATTTATGATATTGGCGTGTAGTTTAAAACATTGGTGGTTCAATTGGAATACTGATGACAAATTTGATATATTAGCTGTTTAAAAAAAAGATGGCGGTTCGTATTCTGACAAGAGAAAAACATCATAAATGGAGTTAAAAATCATCATTTATTTTATACTTACTTGCCAAGCATTGAAGCCAGAGTTAACATATATTTCCCATCTAACTCCCTAAAAATAATGAATGAGTGATATTTCCCAAACAACTATTAAAACATTGAATGAGAAATATATACTAATAATATCTTTGTTTTTTTTTCGTTGTTTTTTTTTCCACCATTACACTGGCTGAACTCCGGCTGGAAAAAAAAATCACATATATCTCGAAAAATCTCTCAGTGAACTCTTTTATAACCTGAAAGTATAATCCTAAAATCCCTTTATGATGAAACGTAAAATTAATCCTGAAGGCTGGTGATATAACTGAGTGAGTTAATATTATATTAATACAACAATAAACAATTTGCTAAATACCTCCGTTCACTTTATGAATTTAGGTGATCGTTAAAGTTAATGGAGTAGTGGAAATTAATACTGAATTGTGTGTCTCCAATAGTAAATACCATGGTGTTATATCACTTGAGTAATGACCTGGGTCGAATATGATGAAAACTTATTGTAACACTTATATACAATTAACCCTTATGGACAGGAGAGTCTAAGGGGGAGGGAGTTGATGAATTAACCCTTATGGACAGGAGAGTCTAAGGGGGAGGGAGTTGATGAATTAACCCTAATGGACAGGAGAGTCTAAGGGGGAGGTAGTTGATGACAATAATAATCCCTCAATTAAGGTGTTTTTCTTAATAATTTTTCCCTTTGTGTTTATTTTTTTTTTTTTTTCAGTTTGGTATTAGAAATTGTCACAGTCAGTCTCATCTGTCTTGTTTTATTATGGTCGATTAATAAAGGTCATCACTAATACGTCTGTCTCGATTACCACCCATTTCATTATTTATAGTCACAGTTATGCAGTAAATGGCTGTCAATTACACGTGGGGCTTTTTGTAATGACCATTGGGAAAAGGAAGTCAGTGTACTGTGTTGAATTATTGTTTCGCACTTATACTGTGTACATTTTTCGATTTAAAGGAAATAACAAGAATATATTAAAAGTTTTCGTTAATCAATGACAACTATCAGTCTTATAGTAATTGTCAATGTTGTCAGTCGTTGTCAAAAGCTGTCACCTCGATAGCGCTTGTCGTTGTTGATATTTTTATTAACTTGCAGTAATATCCCAGCGAGGACTCAAGTCGACCTCCCTGACCTTCAACTTTATAGGAAATGTTATTTTCCTTCTGAGGGCTGTGTGCTTCCTTCTGAGGGCTGTGTGCTTCCTTCTGAGGGCTGTGTGTTTCCTTCTGAGGGCTGTGTGCTTCCTTCTGAGGGCTGTGTGCTTCCTTCTGAGGGCTGTGTGTTTCCTTCTGAGGGCTGTGTGCTTCCTTCTGAGGGCTGTGTGCTTCCTTCTGAGGGCTGTGTGGTTCCTTCTGAGGGCTGTGTGCTTCCTTCTGAGGGCTGTGTGCTTCCTTCTGAGGGCTGTGTGCTTCCTTCTGAGGGCTGTGTGCTTCCTTCTCTCATATATTAAAAAAATGGTCTTCAGGAAATAGTCACACTCCTCACGTGAATGCCTTACACAGTTACATAGTTATATAAAACACAAACAAACAAACACTATTTCCTTCTTTTTATAACAAAGCTAAAATAAAGCAGATATTCTACATATATACTTCAATATTCACTGTCATTTTCACATTTAAAGGAGATGTCGAGTACGTAAAACATCCTAACAATTGTGTAACTGTTCCACTTATCAGTAAAGAGTGACGAGGGTGCCTGTAAATTCAGTGGATCGATGGTTCTTGCAGGAGGGTGTGGAGGGGTGGAGGGTGTGAGGGCAGGAGTGGGCAGAGGGCAGGAGTGGGTGGAGGGTAGGAGGGGTGGGTGAGGGTAGGGAGTGGGGTGTAGGCAGGAGTGGGTGTGTGAGGGTAGTGAGTGGGTGTGTGAGGGTAGTGAGTGGGTGTGTGAGTTGTAGTCTAATTTTTACCTGTTTTAGGATCACAACACACTGGCTGTTTACCTCTGACGTCATTCCCTCTGACCTACCCCCCCACGGCTGTCTTAGTGACCTCTCCTGTGTGTACATTGACTCTATTGGTTATTTCCCAGTAGTGCTTTTAAGGAGTTACTGTGTGTGTGTGTGTGTGTGTGTGTGTGTGTGTGTGTGTGTGTGTGTGTGTGTGTGTGTGTGTCTGTTTGTATTGTGTGTGCTTGTGTGCTTTCATCTTATTTTTGTGTGTGTGTGGTAGCAAGGATGGTAAATGAGGCCAGAGTCATCTCACCAACTAAACTTGCCTCGGTTCCTGGCACAGCAATCACACTTTATTCTGTTGCCTAACCCTTGTATGCCATAAAAATGTGGAAGTTTCGCAGTTACCAGAAATAGGGTAAGTCCTAATGTTGTCTCTCTCAACACACACACACACACACACACACACACACACACACACACACACACACACACACACACATATTTCCCTATTCCTTTCCTCTTATCTAAAACTAAATATATATATATATATATATATATATATATATATATATATATATATATATACTGTATATATATATATATATATATATATATATATATATATATATATATATATATATATATATATATATATATATATATATATATATATATATATATATATATATATATATATATATATATATATATATATATATATATATATATATATATACTGTACATACAAAACACACTCATCGATACACGCATTTTCCTCCATATCCATTTCATCCTTTATATTTCATTTTCCTTTTATCTTCCTCCTTCCGCCTCTATTACCTTGAGAAGGGAACACAAATAACAATATGTATCGGTAACACGCACACACACACACACACACACACGTTCTTTCCCGCTTCTTTATTCTCTTCTTCTCATCCCCCCCCCCTCTCTTCCTCTGTTACCTCAAGAAAAAGGGAATATAAACAACAATAAGGTAAATAAGGAAGGCGGAGCATGTGAACCTGGAAAAGTAGTAAAGTCGTTGGCCAGCTAGAGTCTGTAATGTATTAAGCCGTTACACTGGGAGGTAAGTGCCAGGCAAGACGCAGAGCCGCTCACTCTACAATGTTATTTCCTACTTAACTTGTAAACTTATACATATTACAACTCACTCACGTAATTTTGTGAAAAAAAAACTTGGATAACTGTTATGTTGGCTGTTCACAATTGCTTGGTGTAAATGTTGCGTCAAATACTCAAGTCTGTCTCACGGTGCACTTACCATACCTCCACTCTGATGACAAAGTGTAGAAAGTTGTGTTGACTGAAGTGTGTTGTGTAGTATTGTGGTGGTGTGTAGTGTTGCGGTGGTGTGTAGTGTTGTGGTGGTGTGTAGTGTTGTGGTGAGGTGCAGTGTTGTGGTGATGTGTAGTGTTGTGGTGGTGTGTAGTGTTGTGGTGGGGTGTAGTGTTGTGGTGGTGTGTAGTGTTGTGGTGGTGTGTAGTGCTAGTGTTGTGGTGGTGTGTAGTGTTGTGGTGGGGTGTAGTGTTGTAGGTGTGTAGTGTTGTGGTGGGGTGTTGTGTTGTGGTGTGCTGGTGGGTGTAGTGTGTGGTGGTGGTGTGTAGTGCTGTGGTGGGGTGTTGTGGTGTGGTGTGTGGTGTAGTTGTAGTGTGGTGGGGTGTAGTGTGTGGTGTGGTGGGGTGTAGTGTTGTAGTGTGGTGTAGTGTTGTGGTGGGGTGTAGTGTTGTGGTGGTATGTAGTTTTGTGGTGGGGTGTAGTGTTGTGGTGGGGTGTAGTGTTGTGGTGGGGTGTAGTGTTGTAGTGTGGTGATGGGGGTCGCACTGTTATGAGGGGCAGTATAGTAGCATTCACCCCGGTACAGTACAATACAAACAGTGAACGGATATCGCCTCATAATACACAACAGTCCAGTACACTCACTGTAGGGAAGTGATCATGGTCTGTGATCTTGACATTCAGGTCATACTCCATAAAAAATAAACATTGCAAAATATATATAGGTCAATGTAAACACACACACACACACCGTGCTCAGATTCATGATCTATATTTGCTTGAGTTATAACTCACTCGCCCAGAGGCGTCTCAACGTACCTGTCAGGTCACCTTCTCTTCAGGTATACTGTAACTGCAATTGTTTTGTTTGGAATGTTTATTGATAAAACCTGAAAACTTTCTTTACGAGATATATATATATATATATATATATATATATATATATATATATATATATATATATATATATATATATATATATATATATATATATATATATATATATATAAACGAACAGTCTCGTTCAAGATTCTTCGAACACTGCTGGAGACACCTGGCAACCCAAGGCCGTTTGTTTGCTGTAGTACGTAGTAAAAATTGTGAGAAAATGTTAAAGTGATCGGTGATTGGTTACTTAGTTCCCCGTTGCTTAATTAATGGTTGGTGGGCTTTTTTGTTTCGTACTATATTATACGACGTACTATAGTAAACAAACGGCCTTGGGTTGCGAGCTGTCTCCAGCAGTGTTCAAAGAATCTTGAACGAGACTGTACGTCATCGACCTATTAATGGATAAGTCTATATCTCGAGAAATTCCTTCGTTATAATAGTCTTGTGAAATGTACACCACATTCCCTAATTCATGTGTACAATTTATGACTTTACTGTTGTTAGATTTATGGAATGTTTGATCGCATATATATCACGCATATGTGTATATGCACACACACTTACTGTATATTATACAGGGTATATATCCATGCGAAATAGGGAGGGTACACACAGTCACACACACACACACACACACACACACACACACACACACACACACACACACACACACATATACGATCTGAAACAAGAGTAATGTTGTGTCGCAGCTCCACACATCGTCTAGGAGAGAAATATGCCCAGTTGTTTTCCTCATTATGTCACACAGGATAAAATATGCCCCTCCCTGGCCACTAATAATCACCCACTAACCTCTCCTTCTCTGAGACACGTGTTCTAACTCTTGAGAAGTTGACCGATTAAACTATGAATATGTTAATTCTTAAGTAAGGAAATGATAATCACGATAATGATGACACTACTACTAATAATATATATTTATATATTTTTTAAATGAATGGAGCCTCCAACCTCCCTTTATAGCCACACCTTCACCACCATTTTATTACCTAAATACCTACTACTATTACTACTACAACAACTACTACTACTACTACTACTACTACTACTACTACTACTACTACTACTACTACCAATAATAATAATAAAGATATAAATTAAATAAAACAGTAATAATAACTATGCCATTAATAATGTCTGAGGAGAAACTCACATGAAAATGAATATCAAACTTAAATTCGAAACAAAGATTGGCAAAAATGTTTCTTCTCTCTCAAAGTAATTTTTAAATACATTACAAACTAAAGAGAGTTTTAACGGGTGATATGGCTCGTTACTTTAGTACGAACACAAAGAGAACAAATAAAGAGGACATGATAGAGAAGAAGAAGGGGAAAGAGACGACGGTGATAATTTTTCTCGATTATTCTCCTCTTTTGGCTCACGGTCGCTCATAATCAATTTTCCGCTTGGCTCTTGCAATAGTCGTGTTGGAGGAAGAGGAGGAGGAGGAGGAGGACCTTTAGCTGCTGTGAGGGGAGGCGAGGGGAGTTAATCCCTTGGGGACATAGTGGGAGGGTGGCACGGAGCCGACTAAGGGTGGGAGTGAGGTATAGGGATGTAGGGCTGAAGGAGAGAAGAGAGGATGGGTGCGAAAGAGGAAGGCATTGAGGCAGGGAGGGAAGGAGGGTTGATTAGAGAGAGAGAGACTGACTGGTAAAGTAAAGAGTAGAAAAAGGAAAATATGGACCGTGGAAAGTAGAGAGAAAGGTGAGGAGCAGAACAACCAGTGGGATACCCGGAGGGGGTTGGAATTTTTTTAGGGGGGGGGAGGGGAGAAAAGTGAGATCACACGCTGGAAGACGAGTGACAGCTGGGGAGAAAGATCAAATTGTTCATCGTTGGAATACCCAGTGGGAGGGAATGTTGTGTGGGTAGGAGAGAGGGAGAGAAACGTAACGCGAAAAAGGAAATGTGTTGGGGAAAAGGAGGAAAACAGAGCAAGGAAGGTAATACTGCAATGTCTAATGAGAAGGAATTCCATATGGGGAGGAGAGGGTACAAAGGTAATGTGAAGGGACACAGTAGTCAGAAGGGAGTAAGGTAAGTACCGTAGCGGTGAAATATATAATGGGTAGAAGTTTTGTCTGGGGGAATAGAGGGGAGCAACGTTAAGCAAGGCCATACACACACACACACACACACACACACACACACACACACACACACACACACACACACACACAGAGCAAAATAAGAATCAATTTTTACCCTAGCAGAGAGGGCATGCTTGTGGGAAGGAGAGGACGAGTCAAGGATAAACCTGGCATTAAAACACACACACACACACACACACACACACACACACACACACACACACACACACACACACACACACACACACACACTGGAGGGGGAACGTGATTGACACGAGTGGGGACGATTTAGATGGTACTTAAAGCCCATCAGAGAGACGGAGACTACCCAACATAGCTGTAATTTAGGACACAACCAGACCCAAGGGTTAGGAAGGGGGAGCTAAGAGACCAAAGAAAGAGTCAGGTTGTACATCTGAGGCGACATTGTTGGGACACTTAAAACTGGATTCGTGTGTAAGTTTGGAAGATGAAAGGGATGGAGACGGTGTAGAAGGACGGATAGTGGTTGTTGAAAAGGGTGTTTAGAGAGATAGAAGAGGTACGACGAGAGAGAGAGGGGGTGTTGAAGGATGAAGTGAACGAAGGGATAAGAAAGAAAGTTTTAAGAGATGAAGGACCTTGATGGGAAAAAATGGACGAATATGCACGGGAAGAATGTAAATGTAGGAGAAAGGGAAAGACTGTTTTGGGAGGATTTTTAAAAGATGGACGGAATATATTTAGCGAGAGGAATGATGAAGGAAGAGAGTG